TCTCCCATCAAAAAAAAAACAAAACACCATTTCATGTTGTCCCAATTTGGAAATAAAATAATTATGTATGTAGTAAACTTGTTAATATTTTCGTGTGGGACATTTTTTTTTTGGAGAGGTTTGTTTTTTGTTTTTTTGTTTTTTTGTTTTTTTTTGCTATAGGGTGCATGTGCTCACCAGAAAGACAGAGAGAGAGATAGAAAGCGAGAAATTGGGACCAGCAGTTAGCGGAATGGCAATGTTGCTGGACTCCCACGTAGTCGACCATGGTTTGAGTCCCAGACCCGGTGGCTTAAACTCATGCCGGGCACGTGTGCGTGCGTGCCCAAGATCCCGAGAGGAGAATGGAGGAGAAGGGATTGCGGCGTGACCATCCCCCCTGGGGGGTGATTTCTCACTTTCTGTCTCTCTGTCTCTGTCTGTCTGGCGAGTGCACGCGCCCAATAGCAAAAACCTCTCCAAAAAAAAAAAAAATAATAAAAATAAGAGTGTAAGAATTTGTCTCAGATTTTGTATTTATCTTCCTCTAATCCCCGTCACGTCAAATCCAGCCGGAAAGACGCTGCAGATCTTCAACATCGAGATGAAGAGTAAGATGAAGGCGCACACCATGACGGAAGAGGTGGTTTTCTGGAAGTGGGTCTCCGTGAACACCGTGGCCCTGGTGACCGAGACCACGGTCTACCACTGGAGCATGGAGGGCGACTCCCAGCCCACGAAGATGTTCGATAGACACGCCAGCCTGGCGGGCTGCCAGGTGATCCACTACCGGGCCGACGAGGGGCAGAAGTGGCTGGTGCTCGTGGGCATCTCGGCTCAGGTAGGCGCGGCTGTCGGTGGGGGCCGGCGTGGTAGAACGGAGCGATCTGGTATTGGGTGGAACGGCCGTGCTTGAGGGCAGCACAGGTGCGAGGCAGAAGAAGAAGGCTTGACCAAAACAAATGATGCTTACAGAGAAATCCGAACTTTGGATCCAATCGTTTAAATTCCACTTTGGCCCATCAACTCCTCTTTTCCTTTTTTTTTTTTTTCTTTTTTTTAAAGAATTATTTTATTGAACTTCATTTATTTATTCTCATTTGACCAGAAAGAGACAGAGAGAGAGAGAGAGAGAGAAGTGAGAAAGCAAGCTGCCAGGTCCGGGACTTGAACCATGGTTGACCATGTGGGAGTCCAGAGCTCCCAACCACCATGCCATCTGTAGGCCCCAGCTACTGGTCAATCAGGTTATGCATCTTCAGTCTGTAAGCTATTTGGGAGCCAGTTGTTTTCTTCTTCTTTTTTATTTTTATTTATTTTTTTTTACGTTTTTGCCCTAGGGCACATACACTTGCCAGAGAGGAGAGACAGAAAGACAGTGAGAGGGAAAGTGAGAAGTCACCCTCCCCCCTCCCGCCCCTGGGAGCCGGGAATGGCCATGCCCCAACCCCTTTATCTCCATTCTCCTCCAGGGATGTGGGGTACACACACGTGCCTGCTGTGAGTTTCAAGCCACTTGGGTCCAGGTCTCAAAATGCAGTAACCGCCACATCACCCGCTGGCCCTCCGACACAGTTTTGAGAACTGAATGGTTGACTACTTTTGTAGAGCAATTTGGAACTCACTGATTTGTGAGAAGTATTGTTTGAACTCTACTTAAAGACTTCATTGAATGTTGGGGACCAGCAGATGGAGTAATGGCTATGTCGCTAGACTCCCACGTAGTCGACCGCTCTTTGAGTCCTGGACCCGGTGGCTTAAAACTCAACGCCGGGCACTTGTGCATGCATGCCCAAGATCCCGAGAGGAGAATGGAGGAGCACGGATTGATTGTGGTGTGGCTATCTCCCCTGGGGGGTGATTTCTCACTTTCTGTCTCTCTGTCTCTCTCTATCTTTCTGGTGAGTGCACGAAGATAAAAACCACCAAAAAAAAAAAAAAAAAAAAAAAAAAACAGAGAAAGAGGGAAAGTCAGAAAGCAAGATGGGTCCGGGACACGAACTGCAGTCGGCCATGTGAGAGTCCTCTGCCTTAACCACCATGCCACCCGCTGGCCCCCAGAAATTTGTTATATTGCAAGTTGGCAATATTTTAACTTTCCCTGTTCTCATCTCCGCTTCTCCAGCTGAGGGGTAGCCTTGAAAACCAGCAGTCCTGTAATTAGGGTGAAATCCAGAAGAAGCCTAACCGCCTCTGAAGAAAGCAAAAGGTCTTGATGCTCTCCAAAGCACCGTTCCTAGAGAAATGTCATTCTTTGTCCTCGTTGACGGTCCTTAGACATCTCCGCCCAAAGTCCTTATCTCTGACTGGACCCAGAACCTGTCAGTCTGAACAGTGTCCCCTGAGACTCTGCGGTAAGCCGTCAGCAGCAATGGTTTAGCCTCACCGCTGCCCACGAGGATGGTAGCAGTTGGAGCAGACCAGAAACTGACCACTGGATGGAAGTAACCAACTGCAAAAGCAATTAATTAATGTGGTTTCTTTCTCTCTTTTTTTGGAGAGGTTTTTGCTATAGAGCACGTGCGCTCGCTGGACAGACAGAGAGAGATAGAGAGATAGAAGGCGAGAAATCACCCCCCAGGGGGGATGGCCATGCCACAATCCCTTCTTTTCCATTCTCCTCTCGGGATCTTGGGCATGCACGCACATGCGCCCGGCGTGAGTTTAAGCCACCAGTTCTGGGACTCGAACCGTGGTCGACTATGTAGGAGTCCAGCGACATAGCCATTATGCTAACTGTTGGTTCCTTTTTAAAATTTTTTAGTTTATTGATCCTCCCATGAAAAATCCGCACAATCACCACAGATAGTCGTTGCAGAATCTCTCCTCCTTCGACTGTTCTCCAATCTCCAGCTCACATTTTGCCCGCACCAACACCGGCCTTTGCAGTCCCCCTGACTTTCTTCATTCTGTTCTTGCGTTCCTTGCGCTGTTTTCTTGACGTCTTTTCCTTCTCATAAAGGCCATGTCTTGCAAGTCTATGTTTGGGTTCATTTTTCTTTGCATAATAATCCCAAAGCATCGTAAATCATGCCAAAGCTGGTTGTCTTGCCACCAACCAAAATGGATTCTGAACCGAAACACAAAGATGCCGTCTGGTGTGGTCTTGGACATCGTTGCTAGTTTGTCCCGAATTTCTGTCTTAGGTACTGTTGCCTTCCCAGGGTGAAGGCCATCCGTGACCATTTGTCTCCTCTGGAGTAGTCGGTTGGCCATGACTTTCCTGGTTCGGACAGTTACTGTGTCTTTCATGATGGCTGGATATCCTCAAGCAGCCAGGGAGGAAAAGAGGTTGCAGTTTATTTCTAAGCATGAATCTGAGTGACCTAGGCCCGGAGAGGAGGCAAAACATGCCTCTCTCTTGGGGTGATCAGGTACAGAGGTTCCTTTTATTTGATTTGGAGAGTGAGAAAATTTAGTGAAGAGTTTTCTGTTGACCTGGCCCAAAAAAAGGTGGGGTGTGTAGAAACTTGGGGGGAGGTGGTTTGTAGGTTTGGGGAAGGAATTAGTCAAGAGTGTACTTTAACAGAGATAAGGGGAGGGGGCTTGTCTATCACAAGGTACTGTCCCAAGGGCAGGATCTTGGAAGAGTCCTGTTATCCGTGAGTCAAAATGGTTTGTTAATGATCGTGGGCATGACTCACCCCAGGGCCTCTGGAAGGGTTGTTAGAAATAGGAAAAAGCTGGGACCAGCAGTTAGTGTAATGGCTATGTTGCTGGACTCCCATGTAGTCAACCACGGTTCGCGTCCCGGACCCTGTGGCTTAAAACTCACGCTGGGTGCGTGTGCGTGTGTGCCCAAGATCCCGAGAGGAGAATGGAAGAGAAGGGATTGTGGCGTGACCATCCCCCTAAAACCTCTAAAAAATAAAAAGGAAACAGGCAAAAGCTGTCAACCTCTGTCCTCACCACCCATCTCAGAGAGAAACCTGTGGAATGAGATGCACTCGGGGATCTCAAAAACTCCAACGCATCCTTGTGATGCGAGAGGGCCGCGTGTGTGGGCATCTGCAGGTTCACACGTGCCCAGGAAGGAGCTGACAGGCGCTCAGCTCTCAGCTCCTGCCCGACTCGAGGCCCTGTGCGGGAGGAAGTGAGGACTGTACCCTGACTACGGAAACAATTTTTTATTTATTTATTTTTTAGGTTTTTGCTAGACGGCATGTGTGCTCACCTGAGAAAGACAGAAAGACAGAAAGGAAAGAAATCCCCCCACCCCGAAGATGGCTACACCACAGTTCCTTCTCCGCTCTCCTGAGATTTGGGGCACAATGACATGTGGACCCAGTGTGACTTTTTACTTTTTCGGGGAGAGGTTTTCGCTATAGGGCGCGTGCGCTCGCCAGACAGAGACAGAGAGACAGAAAGCGAGAAATCACCCCCCAGGGGGGATAGCCACGCCACAATCCCTTCTCCTCCATTCTCCTCTCGGGATCTTGGGCATGCACACACACACGCCCGGCATGAGTTTTAAGCCACCGGGTCCAGGACGCGAACCGCGGTTGACTACGTGGGAGTCCAGGGACATAGCCATTACGCTAACTGCTGGTCCCAGAACCCAGTGTGATTTTTCTTTTTTTTTCTTTTTTGGAGAGGTTTTCGCTATAGGGCACGTGCGTTCACCAGACAGA